GAATATGTCATGAAGTTGGCTTTCAACACAATTAGTCTGACTGCAGAGCTCATGCCTTTAAGTATTGTAAAGTTCTATGTTGTAAATAAATCCAAGAAAACATGATGACTTGAACTAGTCCCATTATGATGGAGACAAATACACTGCTTTTAAAGATGTTGGAAAAGTAAAATTAGTTTCTTTTTTTTTTAATGTGTGTGTATAGGGGGAGGCTGCTATTCAGATTTTTTCTTTCTTTTTTCTTTTTCAAACTATTTTTAAAAATTTAGATATAATTTACATATAATGTTATGTTACTTTCAAGTGGACAACATAATGTACATATTGTGAACTGATCACCACAATAAGTCTAGTTAACATCCGTAATCACCATACATAGTTACAATTTGATTTTTGATCTAGTCAATTCACTGAATGGTAATGACATTAAGACAGACAAGCACAAAATTTCCTTGTTCTATTTATGTCTTACAAGTCTTTCTGCTTGGGTATCATATCACTGACTCTCTACTGAACCAACTACTGAGGCCCCATTGTAGGACATAATTATCTGAATCGAGAGATAATTTTTAAACACAAAATATAATACCATCTCTCTCTCTAACAACAAACCAGAAATTTGGCTTATTTTTCAATTTAATGATGAGTTTTCTACCTATTAGCTAATGTAATTTTCTTGTTTACTGAGGATCTACTGAATATAGGTATAATGAAAAAGGAAAACATTATTTTTATAACTTCCTGAGACTACTGCTGACATTCCTAATCCTCAGAGGTGTTATTTAGGAATATAAAAAATTACTTAATAAAAGGATCTGCAGTTAGCAATTATGTTAATAAATCACAGAAAATTTTGCTTCTATAATTGAATCCTAATTTCACTCTTTGTGTTGTCCATAAAACACCTTTTAAGAGTGGATACTCTAAAAAGGCCAGAATGTTATGAGGCCAGAACATTCTGGAAGAAAGACTATTCTCAAAGAATGTTCACAGAGTATCTCTTACAAACTGTATCTATTATTTTTAGCTTCTCTTCTTTTCAAATGTTTACTATTTCCTCCTAGAAGTTTCCCATTTCCTCAAACATACTTTTCTGCTCCTTCTTTCTTTTTATCAAGGGCTCCACCCTCTTTTTGGCTTTGCTTCCCATATATGGATGTCTAGATAATACCTGATGGTCTTAGTAAAACTGTGATCATAATTATCATTATTCTCCTGGCATCTTCCAATAATATAAAATGATGAAAAGCCACTTTTTACTGCAAAACAAATACAAGTAATGACTGATCAAATTCTTTGAAAATACTCATGTAACAATTGCCAGAGTAAAGAATATACAATGGAATAAAGACAGTCTCTTCAGTAAATGGTGTTGGGAAAACTGGACAGCAGCATGTAAAACAATGAAGCTAGAACACACCCTTACA